ATCAGGATAGCACAATTAAAAAGGGAAAGAATCAGCAAATTTTAATTGGTATATCAAGCTTCTAAAAATTTGAAAATATCTGCATGATTTACTGCATTTTTGCTCTTCACGTAAATATTTGGTGCTCTGTAGATACAGCTATTATCTTATTTTTTGTCATCTTAAACTTTTCCTCCAGAAAGACATTTTGAGAAAGGATAGAAGGATCTATTCAGTCATTTCCAAGCCCATTTGTCTGGTGGATCACTTTTGTGCCCTCTCTTAAAAAGATGCTTTACAGTGCGTGAGAGCAGTTTTTGTAAATTAATATCATCATTAAAAATAGGCTGGCCTCCTCCTACACCTCCTTTAACTTGTTATTCGAGGCTGCCGTGCCGGGCTCCACAGACCGCAGTTTTAGCATGGCCCTGGGGCCCAGGGGAATATTAACTTACAAGGCTTTCCCTATTTTGCTTTTACATGCCTGAAACTATTTCAAAACTTAGCGACTGAAATACAAGTTATTAAGTACAACTTTACTAGAGTGTAAGAAGTGCTTTCTTACATTCTCTCTCCCCCCTTTGGAGAAAAGACGGTAGAAAATGAATTATTGTTTTTCTAAGACTTCTATCTTGGCTGCTTTGGGAATATCTACAGTAACACATAGCCCAAGATTATAAAAGGATAGTTAAATGAAAAATCAAGCTGTGTCTATCTAGGGTTAGATCCTAGATGCAATTTAAGTGTTGTCTGTAATTTAAAAAAAAACATTTTGTTTTATTAAACTTCAAGAGTTCTAGTTGAGTGGAGATGAGGTGAGGTGAAATGGTAAAGTGGGATTTTGTTTTGTTTTGTTTTTAGTTGACAGAGCCTTCAGCCCTAACTTTGCAAGGGTGCCCTTGTCTCCTTCTGTCTGGCTGGGCTCTGTCCCTAGGAATCAGGTGCCAGATTGGGGGGGTGCTGATCCCCTGAAGCCTCCTAGAAGGTGTAAATTTTTATCCCCCTCCACACCTTGCTAAGTGTGCCTGGGTGCAGACCGGTATGTTCCTCTGTGCGTGTGTTCACCTCCGGGTGCAGGAACAGACCCTGCCTGGGTACAGCCACGGGAGGCAGGGAAGAGTCTTTGGGTCTTTAGCAGCTGGAAAAGGTTTGAGTCCCTTTGACAGATGTTTGCAGTTCCAGCCACTTCATTAAAGTTGGAAACCAAACCCCCTGCCTATTCTGACCAAAGCCGCACTTCGTGATTGACAACTGGGGTGTGCTTCCTCCCACAGAAGCACATTACAGTCTGAGAGCAGGAGAGAGGGAGTGAAAAGAGGGAGATGGGAGCAAAAAGGGAATTGGACTAGAAGCCATTGCTAAAAACAAACAAAAAACCAAAAACCAAGATTATCAAGGAGAGAGGGAGAGACTCATTTAAAGAGAAGGACAAACTTGGTACAACTAATTAAGATTTCATGTCCCATCAAATATTATGTAATTTAATTTTCACAGCATTCATGAATTCATTTATTCATGACACATTTACTGAGAAATGTGAGGTGCTATGCGCGCACGGGTGACATAAGACGGATAGCAATGAATAGGGCATCGGCCCACCAGGAATTCATCGTGAAATAAACACGCAAAAGACAACCCAGTAGAGGTAGGAACAGCAACCCACAGCCTTGGGGAGTGGGGCAACGCTTCACAGAGAGGGAGATATTTGAGATGGGTCTCGAACTAGTTTTTTGGGCAGAGAAGGACGGTGGGGATGGGATGCGGAGAGCATCGCAATGGAAGGGAACGAGCTTTTATAAAGGCGTGGATTACGTACGAAAGGTCAACCTTGTGAAGTAGGTATTATGATTACCATTTACAAATTAAAAAACGGAGGCTCAACATAGATTTTAAGCAACAGAGAGCGACCACCACGAGACCTGGAATCTCTGTCTCCACCTCCGTGTGGGCTTGTGCCTGCAGCCCGCTCTGAGATTTCCTGCCTCTGTATCGGAAAATAGACAAGATGGAAAACCTAAGGAGCTGAATCGGAATGTTTTACTCCTTCAGCTCCTTAAAACACCACAGATTTCAAATCAGAAAACTAGTCTGCGAGGCCGTCTGGGCGAATTTCGTGCCTGTGGCTGAGCGGAAGCGGGGAGCAGTGAGAGGGTGGGGGCCGCGGGCCGCCAAGGCGAGAGCAGTCGCAGGGCCATGCCCGCCGGGCCGGGCGGCTGGTCTTCGGCTGTCCCCGGCCGGCCATGAGCTGTCTGAAGCCTCCTGCGACGCACGGGCACCAGAGAGCAAGCCCAGACCCGGGTTTGGATAGAGGGAAGAAAGACAAAAGAGAAACGAGGATGGACGATGGGGTGGGGGGGTGGGGGGACAGAAAAGAGAAGCGAAAAATTCGACAAGGGACTGCGGTGCGCAGCGGGAAAGGGAGCAGTGGGAGGGAGAAGAGGAGCTGGCGGCGGTGGAAGGAACGGGGAGGGGAGAAGAGGCTGAGGAAAAGGGGCGCAACGCGCAGACAGGGTCCGAAGTGACCTGGAGTGCGCGCGTTCCCTGAGCACACGCCACTGCCCGAAAGGACAAGTGCGTAACGCTCAGCCCCTCGCCGCGCGTCAGGTCGCCGTGCTGTCGCTCAGGTTCGGGGCCGCCAGCGTTCCAAGCGCGCCTCGCAGTCGGCGCCGCACGTGGGGTCGCCCGAAGCCGCGCGCTCTCGGAACCGGTCAAACACGGTTCCTCGGCGGCCGCCTACAGCCCCGCACTTGCCTGGGGACAAATAGAGTCCCCGTTGTCCTGAGAGCGAACGCCGCGCTCCTGGACCCGGGCCCCGGCCCGTTGCGCACCGGGTCCCAGCACCGCCCGCGCCCGGGGGAACCCCTCGGCCATGGCGCCGGGCGGCGGTGCCCGGGCTGAGCGGGGAGCGGTCCCCGGTCCCACATCCTGACGGGAGACAAGCCGCAGGCTCACGCCGCGAAAGCAGGGGACCGTGCTTGGGCCCAGCGCGGCGACCCCAGGGCCCTGTGGTGGGACGCTGAACCGCCTCTGCGTGGAGAAGGCGAATAAAACATTTTTAAATGGAGAGGAGGGGAGCCAGGCAGGGCACGCACAAACACTTCGGGAATGAAGCTCCTCAAAGACGCGGTGCGGGCCACGCCTAGTGCTAGGCTACGACTCGGCCGATTAATTTCTATTTTCTCCAAGTGCATGTTCTCCAGGTCTGGCCCTCCCGAGTTTAATCGCCGGCCCGGGCGCGCGCGCAGACTTGCTTCCGCGGCTACCCGGTCCCCGGGCACGCAGCTTCGCGGAGAGCTTGCAGAGACTCGCGGCCGCTTCCAGGTTGCGAGCCGCGAGAAAACGTCACCCCGGAGAAGGCCGTCCGCGTCTATAATGCTCACTGTTTCTATCGTGCGTTTTCCTTCCAGCCCCGTGCACCCCAATTCCGAGACAAAATCATGAAAACGGGCGCGCACCGGGCGGCTCCCCGCGACTGCCGGGCGCGGCGCAGGCAGCGGGAGCGGTCCCGGGCGCGGAGGCTCGGCGGGAGTCCCCCTCACCCAACGATTCCCATTGAAAACAAAAGTTCGTACAGATTTCAATTGAGACACACTCAGAGATTAGGAGACGGGAGGAAGAAGGCAAACCACCCAGTAAACACGTGTCTTCGCGGCTCCCCGAACCCTATCGCGCCGCGAGGTACCGGGGAATGAAAGCCGCTTTGCTGGGAGGTTCGGGCTCTGGATGCCCGAATGGGGCTGACTGCCCGAGGTCCCACTGGCACCCTGGAATCGCGCTGAGCTGGCCCTTTCCGCCGAAGCAAACGTTTTACAGAGTTTAGACATAAAAAGAACGCACGCTTTTATTAGTTACTTTTTTGCAGTTTATTATTGGGGTAACGGACGGAGCCAGGGTCATTTATGGTTCGGGATCTTAGTGGGGCGGTCAAGTTTGCAACCACGGCGCAAACTCCCCCCGCGCGCGGCGGCCGCGGGGCAGCGAGCGGAGGGAGCGGAAGCCGCGGTCCTCGCGGTATGGTCCACGCGGGGCGGAAGAAAGACACAGCGGTCCTCGGGGGGCACCGGCGTTGTGGCCCGCAGCCTCGGGAGCCTGGAAGAGGATTCGACTTCTTCCTAGGAAGA